AGAGTGGTAGTGTAGCAACATCAAAGTTAAACGTTAGTAGCAATGAGAGCAAATGAAAATGTTAGTCACATTAAAAGAACCTTAGTAGCAGCATTATAAGAAATAATATGTAAACTAATCAAACACATTGCATATTAATTTTCCAAGAAAAAAAAAAAGCAGTAGTACATTACCTTCACTTCATGCTTAAAAATGATTCATCCACCTCTTTCAATATAAAAGCAACTGAGTTTCACATTTATTTATCCCCTATTGCATTCTTATGCAAAAAACAGGAGGGAACAGATCTCCTATACTCAGCATAACAAATTCATTTTCCAATATTTTTCTACTTTATTTTTCTTAACTGCATCTTTTTGCTCTCTCTTTCTTTTTCCCTCCTCGCTGTCCCTTTTCTCCAAGTTATCTTATTCTACCTCTCTTTCTCTCTCTCTCCTCTAACTTTTGTGGGTATGGGTGTCTATGCATGTAACTTTGAATCAATGTTGACTCTTAGCAATTGTCTGAACAATTCTTTTGACAAGATCCCTGAAATGGCTTGCCATGGCCTCAACTGCCATTGAGAATGACTAGTCCATGGTGACTCATCTGAATTTGTGCCTAAGATTGGACTAGAAGCCATAATCTCCTGGTTTCTAGCCTGATGCCTTCACCAGTACATTAAACGATCTATATATCATGTGCATCAGTATCAAATGTATCTACCTCTAGATAACAACCTTCTTTGAAAATCAAATTAGTATAAAATACATGAAAGTATAAACTAAAGTTAAGTGTGTCTGAGAAAGCACTTCACCGAATGGGGTTAGCTCATCCACTCACTCCAGTAGAAAGGGCATGCTGTGGACTCATTGGCTAAGTAACTTCAGCTAGCAGGATCCAGGAGAAGAGCCTTTTTCTGCTGTGGCTTTAATCTTCTGGAATATCATGTCCTTCAAAGGTGAGATTTGCCCTCACTCTCTTTGTCTTCCAGAAGGGCCTTAAAACCTGGTTTGGCCGATTAGCTTGGGATCCCAACTGCAGTCCCCCTTGCAGGAGATGGTTAGTAGATGAGAAGAAGATCCCACCTCCATCCCATTGATAAACTGGTTTCTGTTTGACTCAGATTTTGTTAACATATAATGCTCTTCTTTTTTTAATGTTTTAATGTTTTATATTACTCTTCTCATGATGTTGTAAGCCACCCAGAGTCAATAGACAATGGCATAACCAACATATAATTTTAAAAATAACAATAATTTAAAAGGTTAGAAATACTACCTTCATTGGAAATATTAGCACTTTTCATGCATGAACTTGAAAATCTAAGCCCCCCACTTAAGGAATCTTAATCAATATTGATATTTGAATGATGCAATATGTATCTGTTTTATAGTTGGAGTGCAATATTTTGAATTGCATGTATTCTAATGCTGAAGTTTAGGGGGTGGGAAGGTTTTGTGTAAAACAAAACAAGTGGAAGATTAATTCCACTTTGTGAAACTGAATAGGCTTGTGGATGCACAATATTTAATAATATTAAATATTAAATATTAAATACAATATTTAATAACCATTAAATATTATTTTGAAGCTTGTGATAGAAAGTTCTCATTAACTTAAATATGGGATATGAATTCCAATACAATCATTATGTATGGAAATAACCCCCTAAAATTCACAGATAAAACAAAATTCATTCTTTGAGGCAATACATTTTATTCATATAGAGAGTATCTAAATGCTTTGAAAGTAGTTCCACCCTGAAAAATGACTGTAATAATTATACACTTTTACCAATACCTCTGCTCTTTTAAAACTTTTCTGACTTCATATAATGTATAAATGGTATTAATTTCTTAATGTTGTATATTCAGCAGAAGCTAAGTTAAAAATATTGTTCATCTCCATTTCAGATACTCTTATCAAAAATAGGCATGTAGATTTTACTTGCATGTTGTCTCTAAGTAGATCAAAGAATAGAATATGTTAAGAAATTGAAGAGCTGCTCTCCCCTTTTACATCCACCGAGCTCACCATAACAGGAAGGCAGATAGGTTATGGGTCCAATATATTAGGGATATACATCTGATGGGAACATGATAAAGGCGCCTTCGGAGTAGTGGACCCTTCTCTATGGAAAACCATTTTCCCTGAAGTTCCACTGGCCTCCACCATGTTCCTTTTTTCCAAAGGCCCTAAAGATGTGGACTGGAGACCATGAATGGAGACGAAACTGATCAAGTGATTGATTTGATTGTGTTGCTGCTGTTATGTGTAGGATGGAGTTTCATTGGTTTTTATGTTATGGATTTTAATGTTTGAGCTGCTTGGAGTCACCAGTGTTGGACAGCCATATAATCTGTTTAATATATAATACAATTTCCCTCCAGGAAAAGATTAAAAGCAAACAAGGTCAAGGCAGAAGAAGAACATCATGGCTTTAAAATCTAAGGGACTGGTTTGGACAAAACTCAGCAGCACTTTTTCATGCAGCTGTTGATAAAAATAGGATCACCAAGATGATCTCCAATATCCGATGATGGATATGGCACAAGAAGAAGAATATAATACAATAAATTGCTCTGAACAAGCTCTTTTTTAATATTATTGAAATTAAATGTCACAATGCCCAGACTAACTTAGTTGATTCAAGTCACTTCAGACATGGATGGCACTATATGTGATATTTTTAGGATGAAGGCCAATAGATACAGGCATTTTACGGTAGATCAGGAGAGGTCCAAATATATGGTGGGACACGTGGATCAGGATAAGCAATGTTTGAGAAGTCAGCTCAACCTCTGTACCTTCTAAATGTCAGAAGGAGTTATTTGATTTTTAATGACATATTTTTTATTTTATTTGTATTGCCCAAGATCATAAAATTCTGAGGTCAGAATTTGTCACAAAATTATTTGGTACTGTTCCATAATTGAAAAGGGGCTATTCAGAATTTTTCTAGCTGTTTCTTTCCTTTTGAAGAGTGGAAATGGGAGGAAAAGTCTCATAGAAGTTTAACATCATTTGACCCCTTCCTCAAGTGTGAGATTATAAATTGTCATGTGACTACTGACTATCCTATGTGTTTTTCCAAAGCTACTCCCCCCCCCCCCAATAAATAAAATCTTACGGTAAGTGAAGATGTCAACCACTTCACTATGCAGAATCTGATGCAGGTCAATTCAACTGCAACCCCAATTATAGAAGTGTAGGAATCTAAGTCATACCTAATATCCAATAAAATCTGGAGCCAAGTTTTATCCTAACAGAGATGTGTAGCACTTCAAAATGTTTTAGAAAACGTATGAGCACACAATTAAACATCTATTAGTGATCTCGTAAAACACCATGTCTTTTCCTGAGATTGCCACAGGCCTGAGATTGCCACAGGCCTTTGCAGAAAATGAAGTTCTGCTACTAAAATAATAACTATAAAGTGCCTGGAAAACATACTATATTGAAATAATCTGTTAAACAATAGAACTAGCATTGATGATGTTACCTAGTTTGGGTAATGAAATATCTTGAAGAAAATAACAAAGCTAAGAGAGAGCCAACGACCCCTCATTTCAACCCTGAGCTACAAATATTCTCCTTTATCGGTATTCCAAACCTGGGTTGCAGAAATCTGAAGGACAACCAGGTAATAACACATGTAGAGAAAATTCAAAATTTTGATGTGACCTAGTTTTGTCTGAAGCCCTTATCTAGTAGCAGATGTCTTCTATTCTCCACAAACTCTAGTTTTTGCATAAATGGTACAATATTACTGTACAATTATACAGATCAATTTCCTTCAGGTTCCAAGATTCAAGAAGACTTAGTCTCTCAGTTCAGTTTTTCTTCTCCAACCGCAAAGTAGTGTACACTATCCATTTATTTTAGGTATCCTTTTCCCTTATCTTCTTTAGAGAGGGAATAACTGAGCTTGTTAGCCTTCTAATACCAACATTTCATGTCATTGTATAATCATTACATCAACCAAAGGGAAACTAAGAAAATACTGGAAAAAAATTGGACTGGATTTTTAAAAAGTTAGAGTTTAATATTTAGGTAGACTGAAAAACCTGGAGAAAAAAAGTCTAAAGTAAGCAGAGCATGCTTCAACATGGGCTTGGAGGTGTATTTTATTCTTTCTAATTTTTCATCATTTATTCTTCAAATCAGACAATGGAACCCATTGGCAACCTTGGGTGGGGGCGAGAGATCATATGACATCCTGTTCAAAATCATTTTTCTATTACTTTCTGCCAGCCCATAAAAATAATTAATAAAGCTTGACATTTCAATCCTTTGTGCATTGCTAAATATTTCTCTGAGAAAAATAATACAAAGCAAACTCTCTACCACTGCAGAATAAATCTGTTTATTATACATAATGAAGATGTTATTTCCTTGTATGCATCAATCAAATTTGAAAGGTTGTCATCCTATATATTAATGGAAAATATGTTTCTTTCAATTCTTTTTATGAAGACATAAAAATAATGCATAGTTACTTATATTAACGTAACTTCCAACAAAAGCAGAAGAGGAAAATAGCAATAGCACTTAGACTTATATACCGCTTCACAGTGCTTTTACAGCCCTCTCTAAGCTGTTTACAGAGTCAGCATCTTACCCCAACAATCTGGGTCCTCATTTTACTGACCTCAGAAGGTTGGAAGGCTGAGTCAACCTTGAACTGATCAGGATTGAACTCTTGGCAATGAACAGTGAGTTAATCTGCAATACTGCATTCTAACCACTGTCTCTTATATATATTTAAATTTATTATAATTCTTAATTTAAACTGGAACATTAACAGTGAAAGAAACATATTCTGATATGCCAATGTTATACAGAGTCACTCTTCACAGCACATCTACACTTTTGCATATTCATCATGCAGACCAGAGCATAAAGATTTCATACACATAAATGCTTAAATATATGTGAAACAGTACAACACACAAACAACAGAGACAGCACAAACTTCACTCTTGCACTAAAAAAGTAACAAAAAGAAGTACACTCACAGATAGAAAACTTGTTGCTGTTGTCTTTCCCTGGAAACAATTTAAATCCTCTAGATTTAAAATCTATGGCCTTTTTCACTAGTTAAGAAAACAAACAAAAACACATATCAGATAAAGCAATCTAAAAAAAAATTCATTTCAATTGACAATTATTTTTAATCATGGAAGTACAAATTAAAAGTAATTTCTTTCCAACAGCACCATGGACCCAAAAGACTTGAAAAGAATATATATTTTTACACAAAAGGCAAATATTTATAAGGTTTCTATACAGTAGCTACAAAGGCATACACAAAGGAGAAACATATATTTTCTTGAAATGAATGTATATTGTGCCTTTTATGCAAAATATTAAAATTAACTTAAATATTTTCCCATGTGCCATAACTGGATTTGGGCAATTTCACTGTGCAGTTATGGAACTTGGAAAACTGAATTTAATTATGGGGCACAATAGACTTGGCAATCCTTTTCTTATTTAATGTGTATTTATTTCCCTTATTAATGGGAACCAACATTTTATCTTATTTTTCCAAGAACTTTACTATGATATTTCAAATCCATTATGGCATTGTAAAACACAAAGTTGATACTTCACCAATCCTTTAGCACAATTTCACATGGACTAAAAATTCTACCCATGTGAGAAGACTTTGAATTATCATCAAATTATTTTCCAACCAAAGTTCAAGAAAATAATCATACTCAATAAGAAAGTATTATATAGACTTGTTTTTCCATCTCATTTAATTATAAAATTTTAAGTAATTTTAAAATGTCTAGGGAAAGAAAATTACAGCATTAAAATAGTATCCACATTTGTGATGAATAGATAACCTTCTACCAATCTATCAATACACAATCAGCCACTATATACAATTCAATCACCAGGATAGTATACTGAGATTTTAACCAAGTGAAAGAGATTGATGATAAAATTAAATAATATTGTTTGGTAAACTACTGTATTATAACTTAATCATAGATTCAAATTAAATATGGAAAATTGAACTTAGAGAGAAAAGCCATCTGATGGCATGGTTACAATGTTTAAAGTTTATAACTAATCAAATAAATGATTTTTAATCTATGAATCACAGTTCTCTGCTTGTAACAACAGTCCCTATTATTGTTCTCCTGTATTGTTATTCTATTACATTGTTACCATAGTCTCATTTTTATAGAGCTATTCATAAACAGAATGACCATTTACAAAAGTGGACTAAGTATATTCATCTTTAGTATAACATCCATTTGATTTCTGCAGCTGGAATTCCTGCTTCTACACAAATATTAAAGATCCAGAAATCTGACATTTTCCATCTATGAATGCTTCAGAAATAATGTTTACTGCCCATCTGTAGCTAGCACATCCTCACAAAGTATTTCTAAATTTATTACTTTGTTTTCATCTCTCAAAGAAGTGCAGTGTTTCATTTTGATATAAAAATATTTTACAGATAGATCAATTCTATATCCTTCAGAAAAGGGGAAAATCATATTTGCCCAACTGTCCTAGAACAAATCCTAGATATATCTTAAATATTGCAGTCCAAGATACTGAGTAACTTTATGGCTATATCACTTCCAGATTTCATCAAAAAACTCACCAAGCAAAATACACAACTCCATCAGAGTTTCCTCACCATTTTCTACCACTAAACCTCCTTTTTATAGCATCTTTTCTGAAAAAAGTACCTAACTATCTTCAATTTTCCATAATTATTTCCCATGTGAGTTTGCCAATAAAGGAAGTGTCTTAAGATGGATTTCTGGGAATTTACATTATATGTATTATGTTACTTAATAATCATGTTGGAAACATGGTTCTTCATTCCATGATTTAAATGATTATAAAAATATACTACTTAGCTACTTGCTTTCAGATCATTTGCTGTACACATTTATGCTGCATTTTGGCCAAATAACAAGATTTTGTGTTCTTTTTTTATTGTTATTATTATATTTTAGAGTACTGTCTGAGATGCAATAGAGAACATAAACTAAAAGGGAGAAAGGAATCAGAATTCATGAAGCAAGTGATAAATGTTTGAATGTGAATAGAAGAGATGGAAGTCGGAAACAAGAGGGTATTTGACTTCAGAAAACCATTTTGTATTCTTCCCATTTTTCTTCTCAACCAACTACCCAAATCATGATCCTTGATCTCCCAAGCATTTAGGATTCCTAGGTAATAATAATAATAATAATAATAATAATAATAATAATAATAATAATA